TAAGAGATTAAAATCGTTTCATATCTTTCTTTCTACGAACCAATTTTTTCTTGTACTATATCTCTATATGCAATCTTTCTCTTATATATTACCACATTTGACATAACCACTCCTATGAATCTGGTGTTCATCTTGTTGTGCTGATGCGGTATGGCAACCTGGACCGATGCACATATGTGCCTGGTCCTACGTTGTAGCTGACTGACTGACCAGGTTAGTTGTATTCGATTATAGCGGTCTTCTAGGCACCACTTGTGTATTTTGCGACCTTCGAGTAAGCAATGGCGATTTGTCCTTTGTCTTTCCCCAAATTCCGAGGTTCTAATATCCCTATCACTTTTTATTTCGCTAATTTCTATTTTCTTGAATCGTATCTTCGATGCCCAATTTTTCCAATTACCACTAATACTGTTACTGCTTCTAATATTCTAGAATTTGACCTGACGATTTCATCTCTGTTAACGAGATAGGGCAACTTGTACCGATTTACATACGTACCACGTTCAACGTTGGGATTGACTGATCATCTCTCACAAAAGATGAGACTGCCATTCAGTGTCTATTTAAATTATACCGATGGGCAAAATATTTCTAAACAACAGTTCAACTGGTATCCAGATTTCCTTCAGTCACCCACCATCTTCAAACAACCTGAATGGCAAATTGACTAAGTTCTTCAACTTAGTGAGATTAAAAAGGTTATATTTAAGAAAAGAGAAGCAGGTCAAAACGAATTATTCCCGAAGATCTTTAGTAATGGTAGTCCAGTTTTATCAGTTAAATTGACTAAGACACTAGAAATAATTTGGAAATCGAACGTAATCCTACTTGACTGATCGTTCTAGTCAATAAGAAAGGATGAAAATTCTGATCATGGCCACAGAAAGATCAGTTTAACTAATATATTATCTAAAATATTGCCGTCTTATGATAAGGGAATCCGGGGAGACCGGGCTGGTTTGTGACCTAGATGTATAAAACAATTCGTTCTTCATTAGGTTCAGGAACGCATTCTTACCTACCAACTCCCAGCCATATTTATGTTCCATGACCTATTGATCGAAAGGCTTTGTGATAGTGTGTCATTGAAAGGGATGCCAAAGAAATATATCAACCTTGTACATGGTTTCTACTTAAACAGTACTTGTTGAGTGTTTTTGGCGAACTGTCATTGGAACTGTTAACTTCAAATTTTGTTCAGCAAGGTTGTCTGCTTTCACAATTTTTATTTATTTACACATGGACATTCCCTTAAAAATAACGGTCTTGTCGTCTGACTTGAGGAATTGATCTACAAGCAGATTCACTTGTTGTGAAGTATACAGACAACGTAGTCCTGTTTGATGAAGACGCTGAAAAAATACAGTCTCCTGTCGACCTTAAACTACATGATAAGCATACCTAGTCTGTATCTCTCCTTTTCAATCCAAAAAGTTGCTTCAGGACTGGTCTGCATCAACTCTTGGATCAATGGTAGGGAGTAAAGTAGTTGAGGGTGTCTGCCATCACTCCCGCAAGTTGGTATCTGACGGAATCATGGCACGGATTCAGAAAGTTCTGTCGGTTTTCCTAAGCTTGTGTGTCGTATGTGAGATGTTCATTTGCCTAACGAAGGACCAGTGTACTGCTCAGTAGTTCGCTGTTTTTTTATAGGCGTGAAGCATGGTTATTATGAATAGTGGACATTTGCAAATCACTAGTATTTGATCACAAATGCATGCGAAGCATTGCTCGTGTATTTTCGGATCGTCGAGTTAGCAATGCGAAGTTTGGGCATCGTACTCTGGTCCGTGATACTTATACGGACAGATGTAAGTAGTATGTGTCAAGATTTGGAAGTAGGATTCTTACTAACAGAAGAGGAACATGAGAAGAGAAAGAAAAGTAAAAAAACAGTCCGAGTAGCAACAGGAATGAAAGAACGACAGAGCTTTCGAGTGACAATTTAAGGAAAATGTGTAAATGGTGTATTCAGTGTGTTGTTTTCGTATTTTACATATACAGTGTGTGATTTCACTTCGTACGAAAAATTGGTCTACCCTATCGTCGTCTTCGTTCATCATAGTACTAGGTAAGGATGCCAAATCGATTGATAAGGTGATGAATCTTTATTGGTTGAGATGGTTGTGTTACGTATGTTCAACTACCGTCTACTTTGACACGTGATGATAATTAATGTGGGAGTAAGCTGGAAGAAAGTTAGAAGCGGCAAAACTAAAATGTAGCATCAGTTCATGAGGTTACTAACTGCCGGACTGAGCCGTATAGGTAGGTGCACGATATCTGGCTGGGTTCTGCATGATTATCGTAACTAATAGTTAGAGGCTGGGTGATATGGCTTAGAACCGTCCACCATAGAGCAGTTAAACTTGCTTTTTTCCCCTCCTTAGAAATTGAGTGCAGAAATTGTCTTACACCTAATCTCTTCTACTACCAGTGATACTGTTACCACTTTTAATACTCTGGTATTCACCTTGGTTATCTTGTTGTGCTCATTTGGTATGAGATCTTGAACCGATGCATATATGTGCCAGGTTCTTTTTTGCAGGTGGTTGACTGTGGATGGCCGTAAATAGATGTTCACATTGACGAGGTTATTTTGGGTTCAAGTTACTGATAGATTTCACTGATCTGCAATTGTTTGAGTATCATATATGCTCTTTCAAGATGGACTTTTTTATTGACTTAGTGCTCTACTAATTCTTTCCAAAACACGTTCTTCGTCTTTACATATCCCAGGTAGTCTTCAAGCGGTCTTTGTATCGTGACAATTTTCTGTCACTTGATTCCTCTATTAACTCATTTTACGTCTCGAACTTGTGGGAGTAACGAATTAGAACAACATATATAAGCGAAGAATATTGTTTCCAATTAGAACCTCATCAGGCTTTACTCTAATATATAGTTATCTTTGAATAGATACACAATATTATTAAACCAATCAAGGCAGCTTATGAGTCTGTGGTAACAGTGGAATAAATTACACAACTAAAAATAATAAGCAAAAAGTACAAATTGATATTGTGATAACAGGTGTAATAGTTGTGATTAGAAAAACAGGGTTGGATCGATGTTCCATAATGTGAAATAGGTTAATGACTTGAAAAATGTAGATGCTGAAATAACATTCATATAAATTATAAGATTGCTTAATAAGAAGTGTTCAGATAATCGGTCAATATGGCGTATATTTCAAAAAAGGAGGAGGACCGAAGAAAAATAAACGAACAAAGAGTATGGAAAATAATAAACTTTTTTTGTTCAGGCTAATTTGTCCAAGGAAAAGACAAAGGTGTTACAAATTTCGTGTGAATACAAAGACTCAAATTCCTATAACGTTTGCCGTGTAAGAGCGAGATCGAACCCCATAAGGAAAAATAGCAGGTATACAATAAGTCACTGCAAATGACCTATTTCTATTTACTACATAACCACTATCGATCAAGTGTGATGTGACAAACCTGCGTATTGTTTTGACGGTACCCTTTCCTAGCCACTTAGGGAGGTGTCCACTGTAGGATCTAATTTGTACTACAGATATACTACTAGATTGTAAACGCGATACCGGCGACCATAGAGTCTATGTGAAAGCCATAGTCAAAACACGGACAACTCGGCTTTAAACTTTATCTGTTTCTAAACGTAAAAATAACAATTTGATTAGTACAATAATTAAAGGAATTATAGTTATTAAGTAGAACTCACGAACATACCGACCAGTATTGTGTGTCTTATCGAAATGAATAAAAATTATGAGTCACTAATATCACAGGATAATAATGTCCTTCAGTTAGCAGGTTACATGCGACGGGGATAGTTTATAGACACTTCTGACCAGATTGACATAGTGGGCGCTTAAGCAACGATTTGATTGGTTAGTTATGGACATAACTAACATTCCCCCCAATCGGACACCACGTCCAGGCTTCACTACTGTGGCGTTCATATAATCGGCTTCTTCCAGTAGTTATATAATTCGTGCATCCCGGCTGATTTCTTCAGTTGCTATCTTCAGCAGAGTTGTTCTGACTCGTTCTTCCGGACCACAAATGGTCTGTCTTCGAAATTTAAATGAAACTCCAATAGTTCATGGGGTAGCCATCAAACCTTATGATCTCTCTCTTTGGTAGGTTTAAAGCTTTAGATATCATTGTTAACCAGTCCATTCCAGGAGGAACATCAATTACACGTGCGGCAGATGTAGACTCGTACGACATCATCTTATCAACTACAGCTTGACGATAATGTTCTCTCCCCTTTTGACGTAACCTCTGTAGCTCAATTTCTCTTTCTGTCTGAGCTAATCGTAGTTTAGCTTATTCCAACTGTAACAAGGGATCCATTCGGTAGCCGTTTCCTTCGAAATGGCCATCACTATGTGCATTGAGCATGCGTTAATTCAGTTTATGTCTTGCTAACACTATGAGATTTTGCATAGTGGAGAGGCAAATCAGGAATCTAGTCAGTCTTATGATTTTTTCGTAGACATTCATTAACTCGTCGGCTCAGTTTTCTGGTTGTGTGCCCAATATAATTTTCTCCACAGGAGCAGCTGGATTTGCAGATACACATATATGTGGCGGAGTCAGGTAACTTACCCCTTAGTTGAAGAGTCACCATAGATCGGGTCGAGAACGAGTTTGTCAGCGAATATTTAAAAGCTGTGTTGTAGAGTTTATTTATTGTTGTAAGTTTACCTGAATTTGACGACTTTAGTTATAGATAACCTTTTAATGTCTTAGTAGCTGACTGGTTTCTAGTAAATAAATTTGATCGTATGTGACGATTTCGGTTGGTTTGCTCATCTAAAATTTTTACATTTAGTGAAGAATGTCAGATGTAATGTTCTGTGGATCTATATCTGTCCATCATAATTAACACCGAACCTGGAACATCAGGCTAAGTTAACACAGCAATTTGTTTTGCTTTTTGAAAGTTTTTTTCTTTTAAATTTAAAGTATATGTAACAGTTCATTTCTTGGCACAATATTGTCTTTTAGAATCCCTCATGTCTTTAGTTCTCACTTTCGTTTGTTGAAATAATGTCAAAATGAATGTGATTTCAATGCACTTTCTTCCTGGAGAGGAACCCGTAAATACTAAGTCGATAGCTGACGGAATCTTGACTCTTACAAACTATCGACTTATATTTTCAACGAAAAGACCACAAAGCTCATGGTGTATACCCACTACTTTAGTATGGAAAGCTGAAGCATTTGAAATGATTCACATCAAAATCATAACCAAAATTGGTATATCTGTTACGTAAGTATTTGTTTTTTCTTGATAATTCTCATACGTTTAGCTGGTCGTTTGTCGATGAAATTGCTTGTGATGCTGGATATGCTCATATTACGTCATTAATAGATATACCAAAAGATATAGACTCTCTGTTTGCTTGTAAATTCCGTTCATCTTTAGAAGCGAACATTCCAAATCATCCTTTTCTCTTAAGTAAGTTTTGTAATTTCCTTGTTTGATAGGACTATTTATTACTTTGTTCAACTTTAGGTGCCTGTGAATTGTTGCAGATTAATGGTAAGTGTTTTTTAGAGCTCTGTAACATATAACTTTCGATTATATAGATGTGGACAGAACTTTGGATACAGCATTAGTATGTTTTGAATTTCGTCGCATGAACTTTGATAAAACATGGAAGATAACAGATATTAACAACGAATTCAAGTAAAATATAATTCCCATTTTTTAAAAATCTAATCTTTTAGAATTTGCTCCACATACCCGAGACATCATATTGTACCTCGATCTATTAGTGATAATGATATAATTAATATGGCTAGTTTCCGAAGTCACAATCGATTTTTAACAGTTGTCTGGCGGTAATTTCCTTAAAGTATTTTAATGCGTTCTTTATAGTTCTCAGGTAACTGGAGCTGTCTTACTTCGTTGCGCTCAACCTTGTGTAGGATTAATGTGTTCCAGAAATGAGTATGACGAGAAATTTCTACGAACTGTTCTTGCTTGTTGTCCAAAGAAACCTGTTTCAGATCCTAACAAAGGTATGATTGTAGTGTTTGTCTGTATGGTGTAATACTCGTTACATTATTGTTTTGTTATCATAGATATCATTCGTCGGGACCTTTTATCGTGTAGGCCCCCAAATGCCCTGGTACGGCCGAGAGTGGGGAGAGTCCGCTCTCCCTCTCGAAATGCTCTCACATGGCCACGCGTATATAGCCTCTACCAGGGAAGTCCTACTCACTGCCTTCTCGTGGCGGGGGTGTTGTTTACGAAAATGAGAGGACGAAAAGCGAATGTCCGGCTCTTTAACCGGATTCCAAACCAATGGTGCACATGGACTCCAGTATCCTGCGGGGACAAATGGCCTATGAACCAATTGTTGGTCACCGGCTTCCATGGGACTGCATCTCCTTACGATGCTCCACTAACTTGTGGGTCAGAACTTGAGGTCGAAGGCTCCGGGTGTAGCCCCCTAAGATAACCACCTGCTTCGGTCTAGCCACCCGGGCAGTATCACAGCCCTCACACATATCGAATGAGATTTGTGTGGCGCATATGTATTTGGTGCCTCCTTGTACCAACATTTATGTGTTGAAATAAATAAAATCTTCAGTCTGTAAAAGTCACTGTTTCATAGTTCTTATCCAGGTGTAATAGAAAATATTTAGTGATATGATATGTCTTTAATTAAACGACCGTTACATCTGTTAACGAATTCTTACATAATATAGTCTTTATCTATTTAACTAAATAAAAGGCATATTATACCTTTGTTTTAAACCATATTCCTATAACATATTAGATTTTTAGAATTTCTGTACTTTTGTTTCAAATACCGTATATCTCACAGATAAAACATCTGTATGTCTAGGGAGTATCCGGCTTGTAGTGAAGCATTAAATTTGCAAGAGCTTTTTTCTTCTTAATTTGATTTATAGTCTACTGGACTAAATATAAAATACTCGTTTGATTCTCAAATACTCTTTAGGGTATTTTATAGTTTAGGGTTCTCTAGATGATCAAAAATGACTTTTAGTTTTAAGTACACTTCATGTCCACCACTTAAAACGTGTGTATGCTTGTGATAAGGAGTAGTAACCTATTCTTTCAATTATAAATATAGCTGATGCATATTACTGTTGTCTTAACACGAAATAAAGTAATAATTCTATTATTTATCGTTATTAGATACTCATCGTTTGATGATTGTGGATGCTAGAAGTCGTAGCAGTGCACAATTTAATCGAATACGTGGTGGTGGTTTTGAATATCCAGAATACTATGATCAAGCAGAAGTTGTTTTTATGGATTTACCTAATCTACATACTGTTCGTTCAAATTTTGAATCCCTAACTAATCTATTCGCTGGCAAATGTCCTAAGTAAGATAGTTTGTTACAATAACTTTTTAAGTTAAGCTTTAATTATTTGCAATAAACTGTTTTATTCTATTTGGTTGAAAATAACATTAGTTTGTCAAATTCTGTTTCATGACCAACTTCTCAGGGTATTTTTATTGGAAAAAGTTCCTTGGAACATTTCTGTTACAAACATTATTCATACTGGTTCAACGGTAGCGTTATTGCCAGATCTAAAATCTGTTTTATTCAATTCTAGAATGGTCAACAAATGTGGATTTTTTAAAACGTCCTAAAGTAGGATTAATGAACCACCTATCCCTTCTTTCATTTCCGTAATAATTCACGTGATATAGTTACACAATGAAAATTGTTTTATATCACTCATATTCGTAAGATCTTATTTATTTCTATATGTTAACCATTTTTCTATGTGATGTTAAATCATTTATTACCTATTATCCGATCTATCTGTTGTCAAAAGATGTATATTTACAAAGAATTTTGATAAAAGTTTCACCAATATATTTTTCTAGTCAGGAATAAATCAAAATATTTTCATCATATAAACTAAACAGTATTGGTAAATTGTCTTGCTTTTATTATGGAAGTTTTTTTCACTTCTAGTTCAAAATTATCATGTAATTTTGAAGATCCAGTACTAGATAAAAGAATATCTAATATCGTTGGTGATTTTTCTGTATTTACATAGTTGTGCAAATTCATCGTCATTATGTTGTGAAATTTCCGTCTTATCATAGATGTTTTGTTTGTTTTACATCAGAATTTAGTTGTTTAAATATTAGAATTTCGGGTTTGAAACACTTTAGAACACCTTAATTGTTTTCGATATATGGACCAAATAATTTTATTGTTTTCAATTGTAGTTGGTTTTCTTCATTAGAAAAATCATCATGGTTAAATAATATTGGCCAGCTATTAAAAACTGCCACAGAAATTGCTATCGCATTAGAAGAAAATGCTCGTCCGGTTATGGTTCATTGCACAGATGGTTGGGATCGAACACCTCAAATAAGTTCCTTAGCCCAATTGTTAGCAGATCCATTTTATCGAACAATTCAGGTGAGAGTAGCGCTAAACTTTTAAGATCATAACTACGGTGTATGTTATCGAAATATTTTAAAATTACTGTGTTTTTTATATATAGGGTTTCAATATTCTTGTTGAACGTGAATGGCTACAATTCGGTCACAAGTTTTCTGATCGAAGTGGACATGCTTCACCCTCACTAAACATAAATGAGCAAAGTCCAATATTTTTACAATGGCTTGATTGCGTCCATCAAATTCGCAACCAGTTTCCTCATTGTTTTGAATTTAATGAATCATTTCTGGTAGGTATTCGCATAAATTCTTTCAAGTTAAATAATATCTATCTACAGTAAATTTTGAAACGCAATTCATATCTAACTACTTTTCGTGAACATTATCTGATGGAAAATTCCGAATTACTTTTTTAATCCATTTATCATCATACTAACTGTGGTTTTTACACAACAGTTATTCGATTTTTCACTGTTCAGTTTTAAAGTACTTTCTGAATATGTTTTTGATTACGTAAGTAGATATATTTCTTCGTTTGACCATAGATTCACAGCCTCTAATGAATGTCTTACTACTTATTAAGGTCTCAGTACTTATATATAGGCATGCTTATTCGAGGATTATAATCACATGATAGTTATATTTTTATTCCCCGAAAATCATCTAGGGACATTTACGTTGTATTCACTTAACTGTTATCCTCCAAGGTTTCTTCAATTTTTGATAGTTGTCGAGTTTTAATATATCAATAGATTAAAGTGTGAGGAACCGTAGAACATATGAATTTGATATTTTAATGAATGACTTCGTTCGAATCGTATACTGCATTATGAGAACTTTGCCTAACATTTTTGCTCCAGATTCTACGTTGAGCATGGCTATCTGATATACGTCGTCAGCTTGTTGGGTTGACAAAACTTCGGGAGCTAAGATGGAATGAAACCTATACATCATTTAATGGAATTCAAACAAAGGTCTATGAGGGAGCCATATTTATGGGCTTTTTAGTTTACGTTGTAAAGTGAAAAATTAACACATTACTTTGCATATCGCTGTAGTGGTTAATCAATGTTTTTTCATACACATAGTTCCCTTTACTATCTTAATGTTTTGATAGTCAATACACCCTGTTCAGTTTAGTTAGAGTTTCCCATTTTAGATATGTATATGTGTGTTCCTAATTATGCCAGTCTGAAGACGGGATTTTAATTATTATGAATTTGTGATTTTTTTGTTATATAGCTAAAACTTGGCTTACATATCTGTTCAAACTTATTTGGTACATTTCTTTGTAATTCTGAAAAAGAACGTCAAAAAGCTTCAGTCGCCAGTCGAACTTGCTCATTGTGGGGATTATTATCCTCAAAATATAATTGGACAATCGTAAATTACTTTTATGAGCCAGAAGCGGAGGTAACTGTAGATTTGATTTCGTTCCTTTGGAGTTTGAATCGTATTTTACAGTTATTTAAAGCAATTGGGACCTGTTTGCTGTTATGTGTAACCATGAGCTCCTATATTGATATTTTAACCGGGTTTGTCGATTGCTGTGAGCGTATTCGATCTATGGTAGCTGAGATTCTTGTTCCTTGAGGTCTTTCCACTTCAGGGGGTTTGGGTTTAGAGACGTAAATCTGAAAATAGCTGCCAGAAGAGTGTAGGTATTGTGCACTGTTTAAAGGTGAGGTTATCCGTCTTGATAGGGGTGGGACAGCAATAACATGGTTGAACCAGTGAGCTTGAACTCCTAACCATTCTGCCTTTCACTTTACAATGGTGGTAAAAAAGGCAACCATACAGTTATTCATTTCATCTTGTCATATAGTATTTCGTTGCCAGTGCATGATTATTTTGGGAATGAACAAAGTTCTTCATTAGGCAAGAATTTCAATATATCTTACATGGAAGTACATAAAAATTTCCTTCAAGCTGTGAAGTTTCGCAACAACAATAAGCCGTCTCCACTTTTACATACGTCAAAAATTCGTTAACTATTTTATTATGAAAAGTGCTACGTCCAATCACATACAAACGTTTTCTTCATTTCAGTAACTACCTCTTTATGTGCTACTTTTTGACTTTATTGTACTCTCTTGTTAATATTCACCTTTCACAACTACTTTGCTACCGATGTTAAGGAATCAGTATTTACAACGTGCCATTGAGAACAGTTTTGCTCTGTGCTTGTGAAACCCCGTCTCTCCTAGTTGAGGATACTAACCAAATCCATATGTTCGACTATCGTTGCTTCGGAAGAATTGTTGACATGATTTTCGATTATCGAACTTCTTATTTAATCATTTCCGCCTGTTTTCAGTCAAATCAGATAGTGTTCTCGAATTCTTTTGGAGAAAATTCGCATTGAACGACCTATATACCTAACTTCACATGAACAGGGAAATTGGTAAACAAAGAGTTGGTCAAATGAGATAATTTATCCTTAAGATTATTGGTGAGTATTGATCGGCTGGAGAACACAATTCACAAAATTGCTATGAAGAATGTTCCTTTGAGAGTCGGGAATTCCCCTCTTCCGAACGTCTGTAATTATATCACCTTTAAACTCGATGTTTACAGCTGGGTCCCCGATTAGACGAAATCGAATACGAAGAATTTGTAGTCTCGGGGTCACAAATAGTGAACTGAGCCTTCTTGAGAAAACACTTATCCAAAAGAGTATCCATCTATATTTATTGACAAGCATATAAAACTCGAACTGCCTAAAGCGCAAATAAGCTATATAGAAAAGGAAAGACTTTATATGAGCATCGGTTCCAAAGGTGATGTTGTTATAGACGTTCGGAAGAGGGGAATTCCCGACTCTCAAAGGAACATTCTTCATAGCAATTTTGTGAATTGTGTTCTCCAGCCGATCAATACTCACCAATAATCTTAAGGATAAATTATCTCATTTGACCAACTCTTTGTTTACCAATTTCCCTGTTCATGTGAAGTTAGGTATATAGGTCGTTCAATGCGAATTTTCTCCAAAAGAATTCGAGAACACTATCTGATTTGACTGAAAACAGGCGGAAATGATTAAATAAGAAGTTCGATAATCGAAAATCATGTGAACACAGGTCACTCAACTAATGCGGCTTCTGCGTTCAAAATAATCTAAGAGGTAAGTAGAAGGCTGCCAAAGGCAGTTTTAATCCATCTCCTTAACATTACCGAAGCTCTTGCTTTACAGTTGGATAAACTAGAATTATATGTCTAAATGAAATTGGTACAACCTCTTCATCTACCATTGTCTTAATATCTGTTAATTTTTCTTTCTTAATCAGAATTGTGTATTTACCGAAAAGAGAGCTCTTCTCTGAACCAATCTTTCTTATTTTATTTCAATTTACTGATTCTCTTGAATACTATGCAAACATCTAACGTAATAGTCTTTCATGATTATTAGGGACTGTGAATATTATGTTCTCTGAATCCTACTTCTCGATTTAATTATAATGCTATAGCTTCCTCCGATGACTTTATAGATGATAGTTTTATTGGTTCATCTTTATGTCCTATTTATAACTTAAATAGTCTGATTCATGAACTCGAAAGTAATTCACTAACTTACATAGTTCCTGTTTTGTACGTTTGTACTTATTTTCTTGTAATCTCTTATTTCTTTAACCATTAGATGTAAGCTATAATCCGTTAAACATGAATATTTTAAAATATAATTATTTTCCTAACTGATTATTACAAATCAATAACCGGTTGTTGCTATCTAGTGATTAACCTTGTTCACATCGTCTTCTAACTATTGAATATATCACATGAAAAAAAGATCGTGACTACAATCATGTGATCTATTTATGGTGAAGCTAACCAGTTACCACTTAGAATTATAACTTTTATTTATAAAACAATCAATACCGAAAATTTATCGTCACTTTCATATATAAACAAAAGATTTGTGTTCATACATTTCAATTTCTTGTGTTGTTATGTAAATGCAAGGTAGATATACCACAAAGATGATAGTTGGTTTACATTTTCACTGTTTTCGTTTTATCACATGTATTCTATATTTTCCAACCACTTGCCTTTACGGCTAAAACAAACTTCAAGACCTATGACAGTAATGCGTTGTAGATCTGTTGATTATCTGATACTGCACTCGCACAACGAATCATGGGACCACTAGGTATGTTCCATGCTAAACAGAAGGTATGTCATTAAACCCTTTACTGATTTTCTAATTCTGGAAAATCCAAATTATTACAGTCACCTTTGATTGAATTACGTAACTTATCTGACATTAAACCTAACTAATTCAAGCAATATTGTGATAATGTCTAAATGTCGGCAATAGCACAGATGTAGTTGAGTAGTTTAAAGTTATTCCTGGTGGTTTTTACAATACTGACGTCGATACAAAAGGATTTTTACATGAGTGCACGTAAAGTACTTATGGAACATACACGAGAGCCAGTTTTTCTCATTACTAGTATAAAGTTATAGGTAACAACATACGTTACTAGGAAACTAATAAAACATTCATTTTCCCACGAAATATATTGAAATCGACAACTTAAAAGAATATGAATTTTTCAAACTTAGTTTGTAAACCATAAGCGAATTTTTAGAGTTACAGTAAGTTGTGACACGTTAAAATTTGCTAAAACTAGTAATTATAACCTTCGGAACCAGGAATTTGTATTGAACATATCGAGAATATCAAGCAAATTAAAGTTGACTTCATCACACGCTACGCAAGTCTCTGGAATAGGTTACCAATAAACAACGGGTCAAGTCAAACTCTTATTCAACTTAAATCTTCCGTAAACTGCTTTATGAACCGATTCGGAGTTTCCTACATACTCCCAAATCACGAAAAGGTTACTATTTTTTCTTGAGATTTTAACCAAAATAGTCTATCGCTTTCGAGCTCTTGACTTGCATATCTAACATACAATGCAGTGGAGTGACTGAAGCATTAGTCTTAAGTTAGTCTAAGTTCACGTGTCACTACTCCATCAAAATTGTTTTACCACTTCGCGTCATTGATTTGGAATATGCGTTTTAAACTCATTTAGGTGAGAACATTTTCTCTGCTGATCCAGTTTACAAGTCAAACTATCGTTTTTGGTCTTTCATTTATTTGAGAAACATACTCAATGCTTGACGGTAATGGGTAGAATGTAACTACTAAATTATATGGCACATAAACACATGGTGATGATGATGATGATGCGAAAACCTCCAACGACTAACCACGTTGAAACATTTAAGCTTTTTTTTGGGATTGGACTTGAATAATTGTGTTCATGTTTGTAAATTGTTTAAACAGGGCATCGGCGCATTTTTTTTCTTTATTTATCCATCAAATCTTGATTTATTCTCGAATTTAAGGGTTTAGCGAACATTGACTCCTCGCATTTATGAAAATTCAATTTCTTTTACACATTTTCCAATGTGATTTTTAATAGTTAGTTATGTCGTAAATTGTAATGATTTGATTTCATTGTTTGTCATTTCATTTCAGCATCTTCTTCAACCGGATTGCCAAGTTCGTTCATTAAGTCTTTGGAGTGCTTTTTATGGTATTGCTTTGTCTACAAGTAAAGTAAATCCTACCCTAGATATTCCTCAAGATGTAATTGAGGCAACACCAAATAATGCTCATTCAGTTACAAATTCAACTATTTCATCTACCAAACATAAATCTCTTCCATCCATCGATCCAGCACCTCACAAGACCAATTCCACTTCAAATATCAACTACGAAAAATTGTCTCAACCTACAACTAACCTGTTAGGTGATGACCACCCATCTGATTCAATAAAGATAACGGTACCAAATTTAAAAATTGATAGTTCTGAGGAAGTGAACTCAGATGGAAATTTGTTTATCAAAGGATATGCTTCTAGTCGAAACTCACATCGGCGTTCTCTTGATGATATTAATAATTACGTGGATTCGAGATCTAATAAACAACAATCTAGAGAATTTTCTATGTCGAATCGTGTTTCTCCCACAATAATGAAATCATCAAGTCAATGTTTTTTTGAAGATAATGTATGCAATGAGAAAAATAGTCCTGGACCAGCAATACTTCGTCTTTCTTCTCTATCTGATGATACAGGTATTTGTTCTGGTTTATCAAAATCATATATGCGATCTTTATCATCGCTTATTAATGGTAGTTATCCTTTTCCCAAACATTCAGATAAATGTCTATCTCCTGAATCAGGTCCTGCACAGTTAACAGTGAGTTCATGTACGTATGTTAATCAATTTCAACAACAAGAATGTGTACTTTCTCCAGATGAAAATATTGATGTTTTTGCTTCTGATGAACAGTTGGAACAGAACGATTTCTCTTTTACTAATCATAATAATAATTTAGATAATATGAATAGCTGTAGTAATAATCTCCTATCTTCAGGTCGATTATACTATTCACAATTCAGTCAGCCTATTCAAAATTGTCAGTTTTATGGAAAATGTTCACCACTCTCTATTTCACCAAGACAGTTCGAGTTCAATGATTGTGATGATAGCAATCATAATCATAGTGTCAATCCTGAATCAAATAGCAAAATACCTTTTAATTTTAATCTTGATGGAGTACAAGGTGATAATTTTACTTATAATAGTCCACGATGGTCAGTTACTACACGAGGAAGTAATACAAGCCTTTATGTGTTATCAGATGTGAAGCAATCTTCCGCTGAACTATTAAAGCCTGTTTCAATTAATTCATCACAACCTATGGACATAAAAATATCTCGTAGATTTGATATTCCTAACAGTTTAATACCGATTGGCAATGGTTGTGTATATCCTAATGAATTTACGGTACATGTAAGTTGATTGATCAATTAATCTGATTTTCCATTTGTATAATGGAGGATGAAGTAATCGTATAATAGTAGTTGTCTTCTAAAGTAACGTTATTAATCTTTCACTAATAGCTTCATTTAAAAATAAAATTTTGTTGTAACTGGTACTTTCTGGCAAAAAACTTGTCATTGGTTGAAGTTAGGTGTTTTTGGTCAAAGAGTCACTCTGTTCTAGCTCTCTATTTTTGTAAGTATTAGCAGTCGTATAGCATCCGTAGCTGTTTCTAGTAACATGACAGATGGAATTCTCTGAAGCTGAGTTTCTTTTTTCATTACTCAATAGCAAGATTAAGAGAAAACTGTATTAAGAAGCATTAACGTAGTTCTACAAGCCTCATGAAAATATTTTACCACTTTCGATCACTTGGGTTTGATCTAAAGCGAAAAGTGCATTCTTAACTTCTATCACAAAGTAACTCGAACAGTTTATCAAAGAAACTGTCTCAAAATAATAGTATAAGAGTAAACTAGGTCAAGTTGTCCAAAGCTAGCAGTTGTAGGAAACCTTGTTGGGACGTGCTAGTAATTACTAATGATAACTTCAAAACGGTCAGAATCTACTTAAAACACTTTCTTATCACGCAGCATATTGTTTTATCGAAGTGGATTCTAGAACTCGATTTCATTATGTACTCACCTAACCCCATTAGTTGAACACATATTGCGTTACTAGTTTTTATAAGTTTCTGAAACTAAAATATTGTTCGCAAATATATAAGTACAGTTGAACTAACGTTGAATTAAATCTTCGTTCCTAATTTTTCATACTTACCGATTTATAATACAGTATGTTTGGTACAAGAGGCCACCAAAAAGTTTTCTCATAAGGCCAAAAACGGCACAAATCCATGAAGCTACTGACAAGTTGACTGAGCTATGTCGGTAGGTGTAGATAACCTGGATGGAGTTCGCGAGACGATAGCAACCGATGGTTAGAGACCTTGAATGAAATGGCTCAAAATCGTTTGCATTGGCGCATGTGCATCCACTCTTTGTGTTCTCTCAAATTCTAATCTTCTGAATTCTTCATATCCTTTTTTCGCTTTCCAAATGTATTTCAGTGAACTATACTCCTTGAATAACATCTTCAAACTCTAGTGTTTCTGATTACTGCTTATACTTTTACTATTCCTACCTCTACGGGACTTGAATCGACAATTGTATCTGTGTGCTAATATGGTATAGTAACTCGAACTGATGTACGTTCGTACGTACGAAGTTCTACGTTGCCGCTGACTGACTGACAAATGATAATACTTTATGAAGCTGTAGGAGGAATTATACAATCACTATTTATTATAAGATACAGGAAAACATTTGTCTATCACTTTTGCAAAACATGAGACAAACTACAAGACATCTACTAATTTATATTGTCAGCCATTACTGATAATGTTACAAGCGACATGGCTTATTTCACTAAATTTTTTTTTCGAGCCGTATCTTTGATGCCTAATCTTTCATATTATCTCTAATACCATTACTACTTCTACTTTTCTGGAATTTGACCTGATGATTTCATCTCTCTGCTAACGAGGCATGGCCACTTGAACAGATGTACCTACGTACCAGGTTTTACGTTGTGACTGACTGACTTGAACAGAACCTCACTCAGAGCTCACATCACCTTCACGGCTTAGAAGTTCTGAAAGTCTAGATTTAAGCTAAACATTAGGTATAATAGGTGTTCAATATCCAGACGTAACGCACTGTATGAGTAATAGATTTTGTAAATTATTCTTTCAATGGGTTTCTTAGAAAATATGTTGTTTTGTATCAATTTTGTGCGGATCTGATTTATTAAACCTTTTCAACGTGTTTTTGTAGAATAAAAAAACTTATGTCAAACTTTCTAAAATTTTCAATTAATCTTCTAACATTGTAGATCGTAATTATAAATGTACTGTATGATCAACAAAGTTTCGATTTTCACCAGGTGAACGAAAAGCATTAGTTAGTGAAAACTCTAATTTTGTATAAATTAATGTACCATTGAGGGTATAACTGTAGCTTTACATTTACATCTATTTTAATCCTAATTTCCTTTCAAATATTTTCACATTAACAGAGTCTACCGGAAAATGACGAAGTGCTTGTTAACGGGGCGGTATCTCTCACATCCGATTCAGATGATTCTCCCAATGAATGTAATGATTTGAATTTTTCGACACCTCTTGGAGAATCATTATCTGGTCAATTGTTATCGACGAATAAGACTGAAATCTCTGTTTTTGGTCATAACGGTTCCGAAAAATTTCAAGATATTACTGGTACTATATCAAAAGTTAATGAGGAAAGTCTAGATGAGGCATTTGTAACAAAACTGTCTGAATTACTTATTCCTGAGGATTTGGTACGTGAAATACAATCTCGTTTTGCTATATACTTATTTTTTTATTGGTAAATGTTAGGAAAATGTTCTTCATTAATGTTAATGCGATTTTATAAAACAAATAACTGGAGTATCATAACTGATTATTTACTCTCCCGTAGATCATAGCTAAGTTTCTAAAATGAAGTCAAACCACTGACCAACTAATTATATATAATGTACTCGATTAAGATAGTGTGATTCAGCTTTTTATCGAGTAATACATGGATGATCAGGCATGAAAATGAAGGTTACAAAGTAATCAGTTGTTTTTCCTTCTGCCTTTTTTGATAATCGGGGTAGGGTGGTAAGTCGTGTCACTTTGTTCGAACCATCTTATGTATTGTTATGGGTGTCTTACCACCATATCGGCTATTCTCTCGAAAGTATGTTGCTTAACGTCTATCTTGAAGACAAATTTCTTGCTGATAATTGTTCTATCAATAATCACCTATCTAAATCTCTTATGGTCGTCCAGCACCACCCGCTTCTACGCAATATGGTAACTAATGTAAAAATAGGTCAGAAGAAAGTGATGTGAAGACAAATCAAGACATTAAACTAATCTATGAAATCATTTAGTGTCGATCTCTGTCTACTGTTTGAGATGCGCGAAATTGTTTGTTTTGACGCGGTTACATTATTCTCTGTCTTCTACGAAATCTTGAGTTTATGTCGTTTAATGCCTTTTATTCTTCTGTTTCAGTTGTTGCTTTTGAACTCTATTTTTCATATTCAGCTTTGCATTGCATTGTTTCTCCCCCTCTGCTTTCCACGCTTTTAATTTCGTGCCTGGTTTTGCGCGTGCTAGGTATGTCGGCATTGATCGATAAATATTCATGCCAATTTCTACAATGGCCTCCTATCCAATCATAAGCAACATAAAACCCGGGATGTATTGGCATCGATTCAAACTGCCACAGTACATTAGTACAGGGTGGTAAAATTGTCAAAATAAATATTAAGGTATAAGTAGTAGTAGTGCTGGTGATAGTAAAAAAGTTCAGAGAATGAGATTCCAGGGTAAAAAGTTAATTCGCAGGTATAAAGTAATTTTGAAATTTAAGATCCTAGGAAACACAAACTATCGATGCATCTACGTCATTGTGACCGATTGTGAGTCGGGTCGCCCAACGTCTCCATTTATACTAACTTTGATTAACTGGATGACCATTGCTGTAGGCAGAGTACCTTAAACTTATGTGCGTTTATGCTCTGAACTTTCAGTTGCATTACTACCAAGCCAAATAATTCTGTTGCTTTTTCGTTATAAGTTCCGAGATTTATGTATTTTTATGTGCGAATCCTTCATTGACATTCTTTTAATCTTTGATTCTCACTAAAGCTTGCTTGGCGAAACAAATACTTCCGACTTGAATATTTTCCAAATATGCTTTCTCAGTCATCCTCGTCAGTTTCTTGTGGCAGCAGAAATTCGTCTTCCGGTCAAATGTTTGACTATTCTAGCAATTATAATAGTAAAGCCCTGAAGCCAGGTGGATCATTCGACTCAAAAAGTCATTCTGTAACGGTTAATCCTAAAATTTCTTTGCCTGAATTTACTCGCATTGCGACTAATGATGATGATGTTTACAATCGACCAACATCAGCCCCAATCAGTCCAACTTCAGCTATATCCTATTTTGCTTCTACACTACATAAAAATTCTACCCCTTTAAATAGAGAAGTGCATAATCCTTCCATCGATCAAAACATATCAAATGGTACAAATGCTTTAGAGGAAATTCAAAAGAAACCATTATCTTCTACATTAGTAAGTTTTTCAACTTGAGAAACAGTTAATCATGTTCTCTTTCTATCATAAACAAGATGACTTTTTCAAAGCACTAATATTTAAATATGTATAAGACTAGAGCTATTGAATATTCTTAAGCTCTAGTAAACTAATAAAGTGAATTATTAAAGATGCCCTTTTCATTCATTTATTCAGTAACGTTCTACCTATCGGAATATGCTGGTTAATTTACATCATTCGTTCACGAAGCCTTATGTGAATTTTTCGACAATCTGTGAATCTCCCCAAGGCTTCTATTGATGACCATTTTGTTAGTTCTGTTTTGTAAACTTGTATTTCTGCTTGGTCGACCATAATTGTCTGCTAATCCTGCCCTTTGTTTTTACCATAATGAAAGACCCTTCTTATTTTTGTTCGTAGCTCTTTTAATATTCCGATTTTGAACTTCCCAGAAAATGGTAAATGTGTTTATACTTATTTCCTTGGTGCCTAAATCAATCTCATTCAATCTCTAATAAGTATCCTGAGCAAGCTTTTGTTTTTTAGATTATCTGGGTTTTGTAGGGGAGTAAGGTGCTATTTGTTCCTTGTCGCAGGCTAGATGTGTGAGACCTATAGTCCATCTCACGAACCTGTACCTAAATAGTAACTATATTGTGTTATTTTTAGATATCTCAATAATCTAGGGACCCGCTAATAAGCCGCCTCTTTTATGATGTCTGTTTGGTATCGAGGCTATATCGTTTTCTTTCGTATTTACCTAAGGTTTTGTATCTTACCTTTTATGACTGATTGCGTTATGAGGAAAGTTAGTGGTTCGATCCTGACGAAAGACGGTGTGTCAAGCTTTTGAATTATTACGTTAGGAATCCATTCTTTTATTCTATCCTTTCTGAACTATCAAGTATAACATCGTTTTCTCATAAATGTATCATATTTTATTATTATTACACTAACTTGACCGTTTATACTCTTTTAATTCATTCAGTTTTTCCATTTGTCTGCACTAGTTTTCAAATGTATTCATATGATAGTTTTCGAGAAGCATAATATAGTTTAGAATAACTTATCTGCCCTGTCCGTGAAAATTTGTATTTAAACGTGTCACTGTTTTCATGAATAGACCTCAACCTTTGTTCTGGCTTTTCTCTCTACAGTCAAGATTAGAAGTTAAGATAAATAGTGGCTGACGTAGTATCACACTTCTCAACAAGTGTATTGATCATATCACTAATATATCTCAATTTCCTATGTACTTGCACCTATTTCAAAGCTAATTGTTTAATTCTTCTATGATAAATAAGCATTCAATAAATACTAATCATAATTAAATTTATTTTCACATTACATTATTTCATATTGAGAACAAATTTATAGCGTGTCTCGTCTTACCAACTGCGAATATTGAAGTTTTTCATTTATTAGAAACTGATAAATACAAATAAAATTTTCCACATTCTTACGATGAATTCGTCCAATTATCCAAAGCACTAGGTTAATATATTCACCCATATCAGCGTAGTAATCATCGAGGTATAATACTTCTATTTATTGTGATATTAGTTTTAGTTACACGCTAGTTCTGGAGCATCGTCTCTGTCTTAAAAAAACTACTAAACCGATTCGTAGTTCCACTCAGAACAGTTAAAAGACACTTGCGTCAACGTCATTGTTCGGTGGATACTCATTGAGTATATACTATATTCTTTTCACAACTCTTTACGAGATAAATAATCTATTTACTAAAAAAAACTTTAAATTCATTTTAATGTTTGATTACTTAGATTAAGTAGTAAAAATGATTCCATCGATTGTTGCTGTCTTGAGCTAATCATTGAAAATTTCAAATAAATTGGTCTTCCATCAACATTACTCTTCAATTTCTAGATGTTTCTGAAAAACTTTTATTCAGTGGTGATTGGACAAAATGTTTCCTAGCGTTTTCAGGGCCTCTGAGGTTTTTTTTTTGAGGAATATTTTACATCTCTCCAACACTATTGATCCTTAGCTGAATGAAGCTCATTGATAATAAATAAATAAACTCATTATTCAAACTCATCTGATTACTCTAAATTATGGTGACAATATTACTTCGTTACTTGGTCGAATGAAATTTGGACTTACATCTAGATTGTTGCAAATCAATTATTTTGATTATTGATTTGGAATCTCAGTAGTGATAATTAAAATTTTTCTCAATTGTTTCAAGATCACTAGTTTCATCAGCTAATTTTTTGTCAACAGTTTTACTCTGCTTTTCAAAATTTGTCATTTGCCTGTAATGTTTAGAACTTATCGGTAATCATTTACGCATAGTTTCTTTTGTGTTTCCAATTTGATATTTACATGACTCATGTTTATTGTGAACTAACCGCTACGCACTTATTAATACATCTGATATATTCCCTAATAATTTCATCTTTTAAATTGTAATATTTGAATTATAATGTACGTATAGTGTTTCTCCTCAGTCAGTAATCTGACTTTTTAACAATCCTAACTAGTCATTGCTATACTGAGTCCAAGTTAAAAATTTGTTGAACCATAGAAATTATATTATGCTTACGTAGTACATTGTCAAGTAATCTAATGTACTATAAACACAACTAACAGTAGTTATTTATCATATTACTATATTCCAGTTAAAAATAATTATCAATTACGGTAAAAAAGTAATTCAATATATATTCTCTTTATTACAGTGATCTGATCCAGGTGAATGTAACACTGTGTTGATAAATACGACTCAGAAAATCACATTTATTAGCCGGATAATACTAAAGATACTAATAAGAATAATGGATATGTTAGTGAAAAATATTTGTTGTGTCAATAACTTAAAGACTTATGTACAATCACCTTTTAGTTTCCGTATGTTTTTGTATAAAGGTAAACCAATAAGTTTTTTAATTCTGTAATCATACAGCTGGATCACTGAGTTTCAACTACTTTGTCTGTATAGTCTCTAAACAATAGAATAGGCCGTCATAACTAAGCACTGAATGTACCGATTTTCTGTAATTATTTCTTGTTAAAATTTACCAGCCAGCATTTTTCGCTCACAGTCACACGTAACAAATAAATGCGACTAAATTATAATCAGTTATTTGATTCAGTATATGACTGTAAAGTTGCATTTATATAACTTACAATCTGTTTCTCACTATGTTTACATAAGGCTATCGGTTGTTTCGGAAGTTAACAGCTGTACATCAAATATATACTTAAGGCTTATTTTAGTATCCTTTTTTGTTCTAATAATAAGTTAGAGATTAGATTGACCGTCCCTAATTTGTATTTGTTTTTCAGATGATACTGAACTTTGATTAAATGTCTTAATCTAAGACATTGTTTTTTAAAAAAAAAAACACTAAACTGTTTTGATTGCTCTTCAAACTATTTGTTTGGAAAGCTTTTTAAAGTGTATTATTAACACTTTGTTTTCATCAGTAGTAGTTACACAGAATTATATCACATGATATGTACTCATTAACCATGTGTTTCTGTTAAATCGATAATCAATTATTGTACAGCATATTTAGACATTTACAAATGCGTACGTACTTATTACGTAAACTGGAAATCCCGGATAGAGTGGATATTATATATGTAGAAGGACAGCTGACAGACTCGTTCGAAGTAAAGACCAGTGTCAGGAAAGGTTGCTTACTCTCACTCTGTCTCCTGGTGATCGACTGGATCATGAAAACGTCAACATCTGAAGGGAAACACGGTATACAGTGGACACCTAGGATTCAGTTAGACGATCTAGACTTCGCAGATAGTCTGGCCCTCCTATCGCAAACGCAACAACAAATTCAGGAGAAGACGACCAGTGTAGCAGCAGCCTCAGTAGCAGTAGGTCTCAATAAACCAGAGCCCAATGGAGGAAGAAATCAGGAAGAAGCGCTGGAAGTGGATAGGACATACATTGAGGGAAGCACCCAACTGCGTCACAAGACAAGCTCTCAGTTGGAATCCTCAAGGCCAAAGGAGAAGAGGTCGACCAAAGAACACCTTACGCCGAGAAATGGAGATAGACATGAGAAGAACGAACAACAATTGGATAGAACTAGAAAGAAAGCTCCAGGATAGAGTGTGGAGAATGCTGGTCGGCGGCCTATGCCCCATTGGGAGTAATAGGCATAAGTAAGTAAGTAAGTAAGTAAGAAGGGCTTTCTGGAGATTAGACCATGAAACGACACCAGTTAATAAATCATTAATTATCGTCCTGTATTGTGACTATCGTACGGAATGGTTGGAGACTCTTGGTGACATGGCTCAGAATCGATCACAGTGGCGTCGGTATATACACTCTCTGTCTTCCTTTAAACTAAGAGATTAAAATAGCTTCATATCTTTCTTTCTATCAACTCATTCTTTCTTCATGTACTATATCCTTATTGCAATCTTTCTTTTATATATTACCACCACTTAATTAACTACTTTTATGAATCCGGTGTCCATCTTGTGTTAATGAGGTATGGCAACTTGGACCGATGCATATATGTGCTTGGTCCTACGTTGTAGCTGACTGACGTCCTGTATTGTATAAGAAATTGATGTGTCTGATCAGATTGTAAAAGAAAACGACATTAATTGTCGAAGACTTAATATTGGTTGCACTATTACAAATAAATTAGATTCTAAATATTGAACATATTGAGTTCTTTTTATTCCTTGTCAAAACTTGTTTGTTGTTAATCTTTCTGCTTGCATGCCTTCTTTATCTTTGATTTCTGTGTATGTATATTGTTTATTTCTTATTCGTTTTAGCAATATTAAACATGACAATTTAAATCAATAAAAACATGTACCGAGTCCTTTATGGTAACTATGTATCTGATATTTACAATAAAATATAGCAATCCATACAAGCTCACTGATGCAAGTTACCATTTCTCTAAACGTTATACTAACTGGGAATTATTAAAGCACATTTGTGTTACCGAGTATACTGAATAATATGATTTTTTAGCTGTTAGATTAACCGAATAGAAATTATTTTCAAGTTTTATCAAAATTGGGTTTCAGAAAAAAGCTTTTCACTGTCTCAGCAAACGATATTGATTCAATACAACTCGTTGGTACATATAGTCTGTCACTAACTTTGTAGTATATAGGACAAATCAACATATTAAAAGATATGCGTATGTTCATTGTTTGTTTTCTCTTATTTAGATGAACACATTGTCATGGTTTCCAGATTGGGATGGTTTACCTATGCTAGTAGATCGTCTAACAATACATGCTCACTCACAATTATGTCAAGAGCGTTATAATCGTAAAACACAAAAGCAATCTATGCTTGCATTAGAAGCCAAATTAAAATATGCACAACTGGAAGTTGAACGGTTGAATTCAGAGGCGAGAAGACTGAAACAACTTCTCGAGTTGACTAAAACTCAAACATGTAAACAAGACACAAATCCACTTGCCTCATCAGATGATCATTTATCATCGCTTTCATCGTCATTATCATCGTATGAACAGAAGTTTACACAAAATAGTCAGTGTAAATCTAAAGAGTCCAGTTTATTGAGTAGTGAACTGTTTGTTTCCATTTCTAAAGATAAAAATGTGAGTTTATTATTTTAACTGATTTTATGAACTACATGTATGTATTACATTTTTTTCACGTTTCAATATCATGTAGCCATGTATCTAATTCAGAAGCACATCTTTATTATGGAGTTTTATCTCAGGAATTTTTGATTTACCGTTGATTAAAATATAAATTTTAGTATTACTACACGAGATCCTTTGAATATTAAAAGTTATAAAAGTCCATAATGTCTGGTATGCAAATGCAAAACGGAGCATGTTAAACGTTGATTTAACTGTTACCATACAGTGAATTTATAAACTTGGGTCATTTTTTGGTACACTTTAAGACATTTTTCCACATGACTTTATTACAATTATAGTTCCCCCGGGTTCAGTAAATAGAATTTTTCATTCTTATTCACTAGTTCTCCCTGTATATTTACGATTGACTATTTTAGTTATAATCGGTCAATAGTTTTACTGAATACTGTAATTCTTTACTACCTGTGGAGACTACACATTATGTTGCCCATAGTGAAAAGCGTTTTAGACAAAGTTTCAGTTTACTAGAGCACAATCGTCACGAATATAATTAGTTACTTGGCAAAATAACTAGTATGATAAAATATTGAAATAACTGTGAAGAGAGAGAATTGATAGTTTTTAACGAAACTATTCGCCTAATTCCAAAATAATACATTTCAAAAAATTGGTTGAAATTAACTGATCTAATTCTCTTACATAATATGAACTGCTAATTGTGTACAAAATATTCAGCCAAGATATTATGAATGTTTGTTACTTTTGAAATAAGAAAACAATCATCAAAACAGTCTGAAAACAACCAATGAGGTTATCCCTATACTCTTCATATCAATTGCGATTATCGGTTTAACCGTTTGCATTTTTACAAATGTTGTTATTCCGTATCAACAAATAAATGTCCACTTGTAAATCAATGGACGTAGAGTTGGATCGCAGATACTAGTGACTGAATTTGTCTGATTAGCTGCTGCACTAATAATGTTTTCCAATGTATTCTTAATCTTGTTATTTTATCTGGTGGTTTTTTATTCATGCTTGGTGCTAACCTATTGATTAAATGTTTATTAGATTTCAGAAGAACACAATCCATCTAACGTTAAGTCTGAGTTAACTGATCCAATTGAATCAGCACCATGTAAGACAACTTCATTTGAATTAATAGATACGGAAGATGGTCAGTCTGTTTTACTGCAGCCCGATTGTATTGCTCACCAATGTACATCATGTCGTATCGAATTTTCGGCTTTACGACCTAAACACCATTGTCGGTAAGTTTTGTATTCTCGTTAATTAACTCCTGTGCAAAATTAATTGCTTAACATTTTTATTATGGTGTTACCTTGTAAAACATTAAAGCGTAGTATAAATAGACAAATAAGATAATGGGTGTTGATTATTATCTTACGTATCACACTGGTTGTTTTTTATGCAGGGTAAACTGGTAAGAGAATTATATTCTGTTGACAACTTCCACTTCCTTACTATGTAACAAGTTTTAGGTTTTGACATACTCAGCTTACTTAAAACTGTGTCAATATCATTGACATGGTTTAAAGCGAAGCATGTTGAAGAGAATATCTTCTGGCTCCGATTCTCTAAAGTGAGAGACTTGTGTAGCCACACACAATGAAACAGTTGTTACTTATGCTATGCTGTTCAATGATTACACAGAAAAATTATAAAAAAACAGTCATGTTTGTGTGTTCAAAAGAACTTAATTATTCACCAATGGAACTATAAATATATTTATTTGGCTGAATAATTGGGAGATAAGCAAATTTAAGTGTACGTTTTGTTTTCTTTCCATAAGTCTACATTCAAACGGTTTTACACTTTGCATCGTGTTCATAAGTTATTAGAATGTGTGTTTCCGTTTTAAGAAAAAAGGGTTCCATTCATATTTTAAGACATGTGGATTAATTTTGAAACAACTGAAGACAGCCGTCTTCAAAGATAATTTATGGATCAATAGAAACCTTAAATTGTCTTCAGTTTTATGAAGATACAGAAAGAAAAAGATTTTATAAGATAGGTATGTTAGTTGGTCTGTTGCAGGATAGATTATTTTGTTGTGATCTGGTTATCTGTTTAACTGTAGTGTATATTTTAAACTACCTACATTTGCTGTTCTATTTCCTTATTTGCTAGAAATTGTGGTTATATATTCTGTGCAAATTGTTCTGATCGTCGTATTGTTACAACAAGTCAACCAAGTGAACCGGTTCGTGTATGCCGTCATTGTTTCTTTCAACTATCTCGTCCTACAGCGAAATCGTCTAAACAACAATTGGTTGAAGAATACACTCCATGTGTTGCGCGACATACAATAATGAAGGAGGATTATAATGGCGGTGGACTGGTAAAAAACTTCACTAATCCAGATTTTCTTAGTTATATGAACAATTCAATTATGCTTTCCACTGGTTCTGATAGTGGTTGTATGCCTGTTTCATCTTTCTCTAATGGTGCTATATTAAGAATGTCGTCAAGCGGTGTCTCCCATCACTTCAATGATTCTTTTAATTCAGAGACTACTACCAATAATGCTACAACAACAACAGCTGTTAATCATCGTTTAGATTCAATCCTTACAAATAATCCGCCTCTGTCTAGATGTCATAGTGCTAGTGGTGCTAGGCCAACCTCCTCTGCTGCGTCAGATGGCATTGCTCAGGCTTAATTAAAGATGAAAAGTATACAACACTTATAAAGCACTTCACTTCGCATCATTAGATAACGTGTGTTGTGTATCACACTATATATACACACTGGCAGAAAAACAATTATTCATATCCACACTTGTTTGCTGTCAATTTATTCTCCTTCCAAATTTGTCTTTCAATTTTGTTTATGACACTAGTCTTTGATTTGACTTGGAAAAACGGACTATTTTCCCCTATTCATTTACTCCTTTCTCCATGCACACAGTATGTATATTTGTGTACGTATTGTTTTCTTCCATCCATGGGAGAATTTTCTGCTTTTCTCCCATTCCTTTATATATGTAGCATTAAGAGAAAGTTTTGAAGAAATTGAAATATACTGATTTATGTTTGCATAAAGATGTCTGGAGTTGTTATTGCTCAGTTGTTTATTCATCAATAATCTGTTTCGTCTCTTCATTCTCTGAAAAGATTTCTTAATGTGCTTGTTTCTAAATCTTATCAGATTTGTATAATTTAGTTTGTTACTAGTACAGCTGTTAATGTTGTAATTGATAATACTTCTCTGCTCTTAAATTACCAATGATTACGAACAGAAGTTTTGTGCATATTTATATAGCGAAATATATACAGAAGCATAGATTTATATCTGT